AATTAATGGGAAACAGCTTTAAAGCTGACGTATATATGAATATAAAATACAATATATTTCTTTAGAAGCTTTTGTCAAAACGGCTCTACTTTTGAAACTAAATCGCTGTATATGTTGTAAATTCTCTATTATATTATATATTATTATATATTATAGTCAATTATAATCAATAAAATATTTGTATTCATTTATGACTTCAATTGTTTTCATTTTTCGCGTCCAAATGCCAATTACAGGTAAGTCTGTATAATATGCTTACAAACGGACTGTCAGTTGTGTTGGGGAACTACGGAAACGCCTCAACAACCCATTCATGTATACCTGACATGTAGTATATTATATACAAACACCGATCATAACAGTTATACTCACCATTCATTCAATTTTTAAGTATATTTCATGATACATATATAGTAGTCAATAGTCAATACAAATCATATTCTTATCGTTTACTCGCATTTATTTCAAATTAATAGAAATGAAATTCTGAACTAACCGTTCAAATAATGGCTAAACGTTTGGAAATAATGTTCAGTACATTATTCCGTTAATTAGAAGTGCCGGTAAATATAATACTGTAAATAGATTATCGGATATACAGTAGTATTTTGAGTAAATAAAATATCAATTGGATTAAATGTTTGATTCGGAAATATACTACATTTTGTATGCATTCGTTTGTATAGATCTCACATATTGTTAATATTATATTATACTGTTATGTAACTGTATTAGCTATTATTATACTGTATCCACATTCTGTATATAGAAGTATAAAATATTAAATTATACAGGCAATTGTTAGTTATATAACTGTATGGGAGTTGTCGCCCACAATAACAATAATTTCTAATTATTCTTTGTTTGCATACAATTTCATAATAAATATATATGAATTCAATTTATTAAAATAAAGACACCGTATATAATACTGTAGTTGTATTATTAAATTTGTAATATTCTATTAATAATATTTTATACCGGTATAGTTTTTTATTATCATCAAAAAATGTAGATTACGTGGATGTGTGAGATCACTGAAGTTCAGTGACTGAACGCAATATTTGAATGTGATGACAAATTAATTGAATTTGCACTTATTATATATTTTTTTAATGCATAAATATCACAAAATCTAAACTCCAAAATATCTAGATTGGACAGGTAGCTATGGTTCAAAGGCAACAACTGATTATCGCTTACTTTACGGAAAATTTGAATAAACTTTTTTAAATTCCCAGACTGTATGTTTGTAGCTCATCAAAATGTAAATTAACATTTAATCATTTAGCCATTTATGATGCTAGGGTGTACCTGCTCAGACTTTAGTTTTGCTTTCAAATCCTTATACATGGGCTATTCAGTTATATTCTGAATAATTCATTAATATGTGAATAAATATCTAGATTCTTGTGTAAGATATAAACGGAAGTGTTTTTTTTTGCTGAACTTTACTAAATGATGTGTATTGTTTGTAATGACAATACAATACCTGTATATTTATAGTTTAAGGCAAATGTGGCACAACTACAGAATGAGTCTGTGTTTTATGAATATAGTTCACAATTATTAAGGAATATATGAAATCCAATCCTTTCTATAAATATAAATCCAAACGACAACTCATTTGTTTGTCAACCACTTGAAGCAAATGATTAATTGAATAAATAATGGCATTCAATACACTGTATTTGAATGGAAATGAATACTAAAAAGTACTGCAAAATCATTCATTGAATTGACAGAAAATAATATGTTATACCATATTATGGATTCTGTGTCAGAAAACTGATACAAAATGTAATCAAATGAACTCACATTTGAGATAACAGTATGAATTCAGCCCACAATTGACCACAAAATACACAACAATTAACAATTGAATAAAAACAATCATATTTAGCATGAGTTTTATCATAAAATTTATTTTGTAGACCTAAAGTTTTGCGTTACTATACAGTGAGAGAAAATTACATTTTGTTTATTAATTAACTTTATATATAAAGCAATGATTAAATAAATCGCACACAAAAGGAATGCTTTGTTTTGTTTAAAACAATTAAATGTTTATCAATAATACAAGTGAATAAATATAAATATTTTGTCAACAAATACTTTAAATCAATAGAAAAAGTTTACTAAAATTAAAAAAATGGCCAAAAATACGAATTTAACAGAAGTTTAGTTACAAATCAATTGACGCTTAGATCGGTTTGAAAGCTAAATGAAAAAATATATAAAATTTTAAGTAATTACTTAATTTAATCAAAATTCAAGCACAATAGGAGTTATAATAAAACAGGAAAACCCGAGTAAATAGTATAGTACTTATTGTTTTATACAATTACAAGCATTACAAGCAGTTTATATATAAATTATGATACATTTTTGACATTTATTTTCATATTTTTAGAGATGATTTCAATTTCGCTTTCATTTCAAAGTAATTCTAATGTTATTTATATAACTATCGATACGTTTGACTAATTTATACTATATATTGTAATTTGTTTTATATTTTAGCATAGTTTTGTGTTAATCCTGAAATAAAGTATTTTTAAAAACTGCACAATTAGTCAAACGTTTGGTTAAATTTAAGATATCATACAATGAAAAGCGCCAATCATTTCAAGACAAGTGCTCTCTAATAGATATATTGGTATAAAATAAACACTTAAACCACTTCTGCCGTAGTATTCAAAACATTTTAATCAAATATTAAATATTTATAGTATTTATAATTATTTATAATAATTGCGTTTTTGTAATCGACTTAACGTCAAATAAAACTCAACCAAATGTTTTACGTTTTGCCATTTTTATGTAAATTATATTCATATGTAATCCTAAAGTTTATTATTATTTACTTAATTATAAGATTAGTTTAATTTCATATGATTTATGATTTGCTGTTCTGACCCGTCGGCGGATTTTGTTTGAGCTGTAAAAGTATTGATCGCATTCTTGTCGTGTCTTTCGTATTTCGGGTCGACTTCGGGTTGAAGTCACACATCCGCGCGATTTTCTCCCACTCCTGACCCGCAACCTCCGTATCCCTCTCGGCTACCCATTCCTTCTCAGCATTTCTACAACAAACACACAATTAGTTACGAATGTCTACCAAAACGTCTCATAAATAGCAACCAAAACGTGCCATCAATAGCAACAAAAACACATTCAACTCATTCTCAATGCATTCTCTAATGACTAAACACTACAACAATCTAAAAGGTGACACAAATGGTATAGTATATGATGTCTTACTTGCAGGCCTCCCTGTGCCGCACACATTGAAAGAGATATAAATAGTAGGCATTTATTACAGTATATACATTGGATTCATGTATTCATAATTTGTGATCACTTTTAAACAATAACTCAATAATCACTTTGCGTTTGTCTTATGAATCAATTTAAATTAAATCAATGCAATTATACCTATTATTAAGTTTAGACTTTTCCAACTGTTCCGCGTATCTCGCATACCATTCCTCGAGTTCATGTTTGGCGGTCTGTTTGAGTTCCTCTTTGCGTTTGCTCTCATCCCTGTCCTTCTCCTCGAGGAGTCTGTTCTGGTCTTCTCTCCATTTCCTGATCTTCTCGGGCTCTTCCTTAGGCTCCTCTCGAGTCTCTTCACGGAAAGTATCCGAAGGTTGCGCCGAATTTATGGCATTATTGATAGCATTCAAGTCGTGGTCGTCTCCATTGGACAGACCGTTCGGACCATTCAACTCATCCAAGAACTACACCATCAGTAAGACATAAGACATACATTAGTCACTCGTATGGACAGGCATTCAAACGCTAAGACAAGACCTCATTTGTGTCTCCGTTCGCATAATTGCCGTTAAATTCTGTGCCAAATGAAGACATAAGACAATGAGTGGTAATGCAATGAATGGTAACCATAAACCAGTGCTTACTCTGGGACTCCTTGGGATTGGTGGGGAACTCGAAGTCGTCCTCGAGTTCTGCCAACGCGTTCTGCTCTCTCGCCAAGAACTCTGCGGCCGGATCTTCAACCAGACTGTCGGACATCACTTCGGGATCAATGGTTGACACCTCTCTGACACAAACACTCAAAGCGACGACAAATCAAACCTCTTGTGGCTCTCAACGAGACTCCAATGGATTGTCAATGAGTGACAATAAGTGGTGATCACTGTTGGACTCAATGAGCGACTGTTGGAGTGAGCGGTGGACTCAGTGACAGAAGTGTTGAACGATTGCAACAACTCTTGTGTCAAGTCTTGTAATCAATGCAATGGAGGCGTCGACGAGACGGAAGTCGTTGTACTCATACATCACGTGATCGCTCAGCCATTGCGAGCGAACTGACGTCACGTCCGACACAAACACTCAATGTTTGCACAAAACAGTCAAACAGTGAACCACTGAATGACTGAATCACTGAAACACTCACTCATTGTCTCATTGCCTGTCATTCACTGACATGTCTTTGGCGGACGCTGTGGTCCATGCGTTCACTCGTGAGTCCACACATCCATCCACTGCTCTCTCACTCATGTCTCGTAGTGTCCGATGAGGTCGTGAACCGACTCTTCGTCCAAAAGCCCTTCATTTTCGGCGAAATTCGGTTTTTGACGAAATGTTTTGAAACCCGAATCGAAGAGGATTTGAAACAATTGAATGAATGCACGGATCAGTTGAATGACACCAAAGACACGAAGATAGAGGAGGCCATCGATTGGTGCCATCGTTTCGATGACAAACTTAATGTCTGTACGGATTCCGTGCAGAATCTCATGCAAGAGATTCTGGGCTTAGAATCGATGCAATCGGTCGACAGGAATGATGTCTTAAGGACTAAGAGAGAGCACAGGAATGAAGTGATGGTTGAGTTGATTGACATCTCGAGGAATAAGATCAATGAAGTGGACGCTCAGCACGAAGAACAGGAAAAACAATTAAGAGATTATTACAAAGATTTGGAGACAAAGCTTAAGATTATTCCCAATTCTAGTGATCATTAAATTGACGAATATTTTGCAGACAATTATTTTTATGTAAAAAATATATTTATTTTTTAAATCAATTTTCTAGAATCGCCTGAGAATTGTGTTTTTGTGTATAATTAAAGTTATTTTATATAAGATTTATATTATTATTAAATTGATTATTAAATTTGAAAAAAATAAAAACTTTAAGATATGTCGCGAGTCGTGACTTATGATTGATATGAATATAATTGTGGTTTAGATGTCACTCAAGTGTTTCGTATAATTATAAATCTAATTCAATGTTTGATTTGATGTCAAGTCTTATAAATAGTTTGAGGATGAACTGTATGGCCATCAGAAGGGATGACTAGTTTGTAAGTGTTGTGGCAAACAAGAGGTCACTAATAACTGATATAATGGCAGAGATGTGAAACTGGATTTCCATTCATTGCATTGAATGCGAAAAAGATTGCGTTTGCATTAGAGCACAGGTATGTATTGTATTGACCCGTTCCGGGTTTGGCTGCTATTCATAGCCAAGTTTGTTGGGTTGGCTGGGGTTGGAGTGGTTGTGCTTCCCATTCAACTGAATGGCCAAATAATGCATACAAAAACAGCTTATCATAAGTAAAACTAAAAGTTTTCTCATATATTCATCCAAACTATGGCTAAGACATCGAGTCATTGGACTTCGTGTTCAATACTTGAGATATTCTCCACTCAATGCTAAATATAAAAGTTATTTATTATCTGAAAGTCATTCAATACTATGAAAAATAAACTTTTAAATAGTTTTCGTTTGAGTCACAAAATGCTTACTCAACTAACATATAGTTTATAAAGTGTTACACTTTTAACAACAGTGCAGTTAATAACTCAATATTGTATGCAATGAATGTGAGACTTGTTTTATACGACACTTAAATCTCTGGGTTATAAACATTTCTGTCAATTGTTTTCGCTATGCCTCGCAATTAATGCCATGTATTTCAATGTTTAAGTTTGCCTTCAGTCACAGTCATATCAAATACGTTATGCTGTCATTGCGTTCACACAGTGTTTGGTCTATAATATTGACTCAAATATAGTGCACAACACTTGATGTGAGCATTCATTCAATGCATTTGCCATTCACTCAATGCTTTTCAATGCTAAATACGTTATGCTGTCATTGCGTTCACACAGTGTTTGGTCTATAATATTGACTCAAATATAGTGCACAACACTTGATGTGAGCATTCATTCAATGCATTTGCCATTCACTCAATGCTTTTCAATGCCTTTCAATGTCTCTGTTGTCTCTGTTTTGAGCCATAGTTTCAAATGAAAACTGTTTTACATTTTGTTGAAAAATTTATTTCATTTGTTTCATAATCACTACAAATGAACACTATTTGACATTTCACTCAAACGGTAATTCATTTAAACTTTAATCTTATATTTATTATATTTTATAAGTTGTAATTCAATTTGTTATTTGTTTCAAATAATTTGTTACACATTTTAATTTCAACTTTTTTGTTTGTTTTTATCATTACTGTTACTGTATTTAAATTTGTAGTTAATTTAATTTTTTCAATAATGATTTATAGTTAGATTTAAGTTTATGTTATAAACAAATTTAAATCTCGTTTATATTTCAACCAAAACTCAGCAATGATTTAGTGATTGTTTGTATTATATGTTTACATTGACTGCCAATTCAATGACTAATCACTGATTGCTTTATATTTCAATTTCAGACCAAATAATGAGTTAATAGTGAAGTGTTTTATCATCAAAAGTCATCAAAACTGGCAAATCATTGAATTAAACGTGTGTTTGATGTGAGAGTTAATACAATTTGAATGATTAAGTGATGCCTTATATGGCTATTCATGTCAATTGAATACAACAACTGTTTTGAAGACATTTCTCATTTCAATATAATTACCTGTTTTGTGAACAATTGACACGAAAGTGAAATCAATTGCAAACAATGACTTCCTGTGAATCAGTTGCCGCCGAAGACAAAGACTTTGATGTCTTGATTAGTGTCACGAGCGATGAATACAATTATTTGGATTCAACGGACGCATGGCTCACATCTGATGCAAACTCGACATTTGGCTGCACTTCAGACAAAGACATCATTGAATGGATTCGCAGTGCCTTTTGTAGGGAGAGGTCGCGCGGGACTCACATGTCTTTAGTGAACCAATTGGACGACATGAAGACATTGAGTGCCGCCATCGACTCGAGAACTTTTACCCGAAACAAACAGCGACAGAAACGCCAGTCTCTGTTCAACGGAACCGCTCTGTCGTCCCTCTGCTCGCCAGTCAATGAAGACGAGTACTCGAGTCCGGAGGCCAACGACAAGACATTTGAAGTGCAGACACATAACAGGTCTCTGAACGGGACGTTCACCAAAACCATTGCCGACAATACATTTACGCTGACAACTGATCCCGAGATGCAACTCAATAACATCGATGACGTCGAGAAGATCGCCAAACGTCAAGAGGACAGTCTTCGCCAGAGTTGTGCTAATGGCTGGTCCTCTCAACACAAGTCTCCGAATAGGAGTTATTTATTAGATAATAATAAAAGTCAATCCTATTTAAGAAATCCTAACATCAACTCAAATACTTTGACCAAAAGTCGGGGTCATATCAGACAAAGAGTGCCCGACGTTATGATGAATGACTTGGATGTGAACGACGACGAAGAGGTGATGGACGAAGACAACCAATACTACGATCAGATGCTGTCACCCGGTAATTGATACTTGAATTGGTTTAAGACATTTGATTCATTATAATATGAAATGTGTTGACAATTATAGAGAGTTTCGGTTCTCATTTGATGGACAATTCGAGCACTCCGTTGGTGCCGAAGAACCGAACCATTCTTCAGCAAAGTATACGACAGCCGATTGGCTCTAAGATAATGCCAGACGTGAGTAATCTTCGGTCGCACAGCAGTTATGGCGGATCCAAAATCGGCAGAAGTGAGCCCAACCTCTCGCGACGACTGCAGCCGATGGCCAAAGGAGTGGCTTATAATCCATCGAAAGGCAATCCAATGGCAAATCGGATGCAACAGAACTCTTCGAACCGAACTTTTCTGGAGTCAAAAACTCCGAGCGATTCGCGGCTTATGGTTAGGAATGGGTTAGGCTTTCAAAATCATAATCAAATGCAAACCGTTGGGCGCAATACATCTCCGCCGCCCTCTCAGAGCCAACAGATTCTCAACAGAAAAGTAAGGAAATAACTGTCCATTAAGTGTGAAATTAATTCATTTATTATGTAATTTTCATAACAGTTATAACTTTTTATAAAAATAGAATTTGATTAGCATTTGAAAAGTGAAATATAGTGAATGTACTGATAATTCAATTGTTAACAATTGGTGTGTACTATAGGTTGCGGTTGAGGGCGAGCTTAATAGCACAACCACTACCACTAATCTCTGTAGAAAATCCACTTTTCGGGTGCGAGACTATGCTATTAATAACGAAGACAATGGTATTGACTGCTTAGCTAACGGTACCAATGCCTCAACCAATGGCTTTCACACTAACAAAATACACAATAATAATAATAGTGTCCAAAGAAATGTGTCCAAAATTCCCGGACCGAAGACTAATAGGTGACCAACGCTTGCATTAATTGATTAATTATTAATAAGTATTAATTTGCTTTCATTAATGATTGCATTAATAAATAACTTATTTAATATATCTAATACATTAATAATCTAATATGTAATTTAACTTTCATGTTCACAGATCCGGAATTCCAGTCTGTGGTCCGCGCACAGCAATCCCGGGCCCAGTAAACTCCCGGCCCGCTCAGCCTATCGATAACTCGTGGAAAAATGGATGCTTTTAATGGATTTTATTCATTTGATTCTTAATTATTTAAATTTCTTTGTTTGTTACGTGATTTTAAATCTAAATCTTTTTTATATTAATATTAATATTAGTCACAAATGTATATTATTTTTACCGTAAATTGATTTTTAAAAGTTTTTATCATTATTTTAAACTGTGATCTAATTTATCATTTGTGGCCATAAGTCATCAGTAATTAGCGTTTGATTTGCAAAAGTTATCAAGGCGTTCATATTTTTAGCAAAATTTTATTTCAAATGTATTGTATGTATAAAATTAGGATTCTATGAAATCTTTTTTAATATAACTTTTATAAGAATATTATACAAAAGTTTTTACTTATAAACAGCATTTTTCACTACTAATTACGGTATTAATACAGTATCGGTAATAGACATAAAAATAATACTTTTGTGCCTTTTATTCAAATGAATGTGTAATACAAACACATTTAAAGTGCGATTTAGTGATTGTATATAATATTCAACATTTTTTGTCAATTTGTATATTTTATGATAAATGAGATTAAAATGATTTCATTTGAAAAACTTGCGAATCATTTATTTATAACGAAGTCATTATTTGCAATAAATTTACATAATTGTGGATATTTATATTTATGTATGTATTTGAATTTGAAATTACAATATTTGATGAATTTATTAAATTGTTGTGAACTTTGAAATACAAGTAATTAACTGTAAATCGAAATATTATGATATTATGAAAGGAATACTAGTTTGTCAGGAAAGATGGGTTCAGGTATGTCTGAAATTCAAGTTTTTCACTATTTTACCATTCAATGAGATATTAGCTCATAATAGCACGCATTGAATGCAATGATTGCCTATAATATAGCCGTATCGGCGATGTATTCAACACTCGCATCAATATAATGATCAATTTATTTGGATAACCACTGTCTGTACTGTACTATCATTTATGAAATTACTGTTTATTAAAGTTATGCAATATTTCACTAAACTGTAAGACCATGCGAGAGATGGTAGATAAATGACTATTGACTATAATGATCTTGGCTAATTATTGAATCGCATTTGTAAGTTACCACTAGTTTGATGTAAAAATTCTTGCCATGCACAGTTTTGAGCAAGGGTAATACTCTGGACGTAATTTGAGAGATAGATAACCATTTGATTGAATGAAACATTGGATTAATGATACAATAAATGAATTATTTCTGTCATCACTTGTATGGCACTTGTGGTGAGATTAAGCATCAATTCCTATAGAATATACCCAAACATGCGATGAATTCTACAAAATTGCATAATATTTCATATATTGCTAATGAATGCCAATTATTGTCATTATTCTCAAGCAGTTGTCTATTCATTCAACCATTCATTCAAACATCAGGTGTCATCGCATACAGTGTGTCATTCAAATGTCTACAATGTCTACAATGGCTCATTGATCACTGGATGTGACCTAGCACATAAGCTTATAACAGTAACTGAATCATCTATGCTACAGTAATAGTACAGAATATTGCGTACAGGGAATAATGCAATAATTAGTGATGAAATCGCATTGTGTGTCACTTATAGCTTACATATAATACGCGCCAAACATATGACTCCCATTGAGACCCGTTTGCGCCACCATTGCATTACATGTCATAAACAGCGTTACAGTTATCGGAAGTCGAGGGGAAGGAAGTCATATGAATGGTGTATGCGTTGACAACTTGTGCCATCAATGGGCCATAAATTGTGTGATATTTGGTGACAGACTTTGTGAACACATATATGCCGTGAATGAGTGGACCATTGAGTGAACCATTGAGTCTCACAACCAGTGAGTGATCTGTTGGCGCATGAGTTGAGACATGAGTGACATATCAGACACTGAACTCAGAGACCAACACTTACTACGAAGACTTCGCTCTATTATCACCGATTTGGACCAACTGGACACCGGTGTCGTGCCTGTCGGCCAAGTGAGACAATGGATGCACGAGTTGGTGACCACTGCTGCACCCAAAGTGACCACTAATGGTCACAAAGTGCTCACTCAAGACAACCCCAACCCCTTTGTGTCCGCAGAGACGCCGACAAACACTTCCAGTACTTCTGCCAACAGTTGCAGTGATAATGATGTGAATGACACGCAAAACACTATCAATATTACCGACAATAGTGTTGATAACAATCCAATCACTGATAGTGAAGAAGTGAATGACTTATTTGATGGCAATTTAGGTGATTATAGCGATCATCATAACAGTGAAGACAAAGACGTCGAGTCAACCGCTGAGGCGGACATACCAAACGGTGACCATAAGAGTGATAGCAGTGTCGAAGCTGAGGAAGAAGTGCCCGAAGGAGTGGATCGTGAAGTGAGCGGTGATCAGCTGGAAGTGAATGCCGACATCGAGAGTAAGCGCCAAAAGGAAGACTTATCTGAACTGAGCTCCTCAGACACCTCTATGGGAAGTGTTAGAAACCTTCGGTCCAGAGCTAAGACGAGTGATAATCAGTGTTCGGACTCTTCTGACGTTCAATTCGACGACTCATCTGATTCTCCAGATTCTGCCTCAGACTCGGACTCCGACTTCAAAGTCAACCACAGATCTGATAACAATTCAAGCAATCGTTTGAATAAATACGAGTCACTTCTCAAAGACATTAGAATTACTCAATTGGAACCGTCTGTTGACTTGATTCCAGTGAGTGATGATATTATAGACGAGGCCATCGACGACGCGACCAAAGCCTCGGTTGTGATACAAACACTTGAA